GAGAGAGAGAGAGAGAGAGAGAGAGAGAGAGAGAGAGAGAGAGAGAGAGAGAACAGGAGAGGCCCTGAGTTGGAATACGTAGGTTGTCTGGAACTTAGGCAGCACATGCTGGCCTCGAGTTCACAATCCTCTTGCCGCTTCGGTGCTGGCATTACTGGTGTGTGTCACTACACTAGACTTCACTGACAACTGCATTTAGATGACTCCACTCAATTTGTTGAGTTTCTGAGCCCCACATTTCTTAACCCCTGGAGTCTCTCTCTATGGGAAGGCCTTAGTTACCAAGGCCATGGCACCTTTCTGAGGGTCATAGTTCATAGCTGATGCGAGGGCTCACTTACAGCGAGCGGGGCTTCCATGTCACCAAAGCGGAAGTTTCGTGCGTAGCAGATGCTTTCATTTTTCTCCGAGCGCCCCCTTGTCCTTCTCAGGCTCGGTGGCCACCACGCCTGGTACCACACTGGCCACTGTAGGACCTACTGTCCTAGTCACATAGAGTCAGTCTGGGGAAGGAGGGATGTGTTCTGGCAAGCTTGAGCATGGCTGACCAGTTTCCTCTCTCGGCACAGCGGCACAGAGCTTTGGTCTGCTGGACCCCAAACTCTGCTACCTGCTAGATGGAATCCTCTTGATCTACGGAGTCATTGTCACCGCCCTGTACCTGAGAGCAAAGGTGGGTCTCCTTGGGCTCTTGAGGGAGGATGTATGGTGGGAGAGTCTCAGGCCTGGGCTTTGTTTTGGTATCCACGGGCAAGGCAGGTGACAGCCAAGACTGCACAGTGGGCGGGCTGAGGAGGTGGGGTATCAGTCTCTGGCAGACAGGGTGGGAGGGACAGTGAGCCAACAAATGCTGGGTGCATTAGTGAGGATAGGTACCCATGCCTGGATGCCAGAGTCCCATGGCTCCGGCTGGCAAACAGATGGCTTACACTCGGCAGTTAAGGACAAGAAGGTGAAAGGCCTCTTCTTCAGGCCCACTGTCGAGCTGCTAATCAAGGCCACATCAGCTTTTCTCTCTAAGCCTCAGTTTCCCTATCTGCAAATGAGTGGTGGGCAGAGCACTGGTCCCCAACAGGTGCACGAAACTGTGGCCTTTGTGGAAAGGACACATCTTGGGAGACAGAAGAAGTTGGATCCCTCCAGAGCACGATAGCACATTTCCTCCCTGGCATCAGATTTTATTTGAAATAAATAAATAAAGTCTTACTTTATTTCTTTACTCATTTTTAAATTCGGAAATAATCCCTAGCTGATCCGTAAGATTCTCCCCAGAGCACCGACTGTGAAACCCTGTAATTCCTCTCAGCTTAGGGGGCATGTGTGGTCATGTCAGCTCCGGGCACATGCTCAGGACACTAAAGCAAGCTACGATGTCTCCCCCTCAGGAAAAGGCTGGATGAGTGATGGTGCCCTCGGGCCTAGTTAATAGACAGCTTTTTGTAGCCACTGTCTACTCCGAGCGTCCTCAGGGTCCCCGGAAGAGGGACACAGGAGAGTACTCCTGGCTCTCGGCAGGCACGGATGGAGAACCTGGCACCTCTGCAGGCAGGGTGCGGGGTGGGGGTGGGAGCAAGGCCTTTTGCTTGGGATAGTTAACTTCTCCCAAGACTGAAGTTGTAGACAGTCAGGTCACAGGCAGGAAAAAGGACAACCAAGTTCAGAAGAGAGCTGCCATGCCTTGGGAGCCTGTGAGGGCTAGCCACAGCAACAAGGTATGCGCCGATTGTTGTCACCGTGCATGGAGGGGCTGTCCCCCAGCTCAGCACTGTAGCCAGCCCGATGATGGCTTTCTTGGAGATGGTGCTAAGCTGCGCTTCTCTCTCCCCTCCTGCAGTTCAGCGGAAGTGCAGACGCTGCCGCCTACCAGCAGGGTTCCAACCAGCTCTACAACGTAAGTTCCGGCTCTGCGGACCTGCCTGGAAAGCCTGGTCTCAGGAAACTCCAAAGCCAGGCTCAGCTTCCAGTCCGGTCCACAGCTTTTGCTGTTGGCCAGGTGGCAAGCTGTTGAACCTCGGGCTTCTAACTGGAGCAGCTATCATGCCTGTCCCACGGAGCTGCTATGAGGATGAAGAGCTTCAAGGATGAGCTGCGGGGCACAGCCCTGCCTTCAAAGGCTGCAGCACGGGGGGGTGGGGGGTGGGGGGTGGGGGTGGGGGAGTGGGAGGGCGGCCGGGGATCACACAAGTGCAGGGCCCCCCCCCCAGAAGCCTCAGTTTCACCTGCTAATGAAAGTGTATTATTCACCCCGTTAGACACATCAGCACGTGCTGACTTTGGGGCTCCGCCATGCGCCATCAAGGTAGCGGGTATTTTCTGAGGTGCTGGCACGAAGATGAAGCAGTACCTGCCACCTTTCTTGCCCCTGTAATTTTCCAAAAATTGCATTTACCGGAACTGAAGAGGTAGCGCTGAGTGCTGAGTGCTCTTGCAGGGGCCCTGGCCTTTTCCCCAGCACCTGCGTGGTGGCTCACAAACGCCTGCAAACCCTCGTTCCAGGGGACTGGATGTGTCTTCTGCAGGCATGTGGTACACAGACACACACATAAATAAAATGTAAACATTGCGTTTACTTTCTGTTGGGCTGTGCTCCACCTTCCTCTCTCTCTCTGTGTAACATGATGCACACATAAAAGGTCAGAGGAATTCTCCCCTTTCACCATGTGGGTCCTGGAGACTGAACTCAGATCTTTAGGCTGAGACTAGTGCCTTTCCCACTGAGATATCTCTTACCTTCCTTTATGCTCCTCCTTTTTAAATTTTTTTTTTTGGAGCCACCAGGTGGAAAAACAAACTGTAGTTTCGATTGATACGGCCCCATTTGCCTCAAGGTCCTGTTTCCTGTTCTAGGAGCTCAACCTAGGCCGAAGAGAGGAATACGACGTTTTGGAAAAGAAGCGGGCTCGGGATCCCGAGATGGGAGGCAAACAGGTAGGGAGCGCCTCTGCCTCTGGGTGTGTGGGCTCTGAGGGAGGGCTGCTCATACCAGCACAGTGGCCTCTAGACCCACAGTACCATAGACCGTAGGACCTGGGACAAGAGGATGACAAAGACCTGCTTGCCGCTGCCCCCTGCCTTCCTTCCTCATGAGGAGCCTTGGCACATTAGTGTGTCACTCCAGCCTTCACGTCTAAGCTCTGTCCACCTCCCCTCTGCTGCTCCTTGGCCGACACATGGCAGCACCAACTGTGCCATAGGGGCCCTGATGTCAGATACACACAGGGAGGGCTAAGCCGTGGAGAAGGAATTCTAGATTCAAAATGTTTAGAACATGTCCAGAACATGGCCACATCAGGCTCCAGGTTCCCGTGCTCTCTTGGCTTTGTAGACTCCACCCCTATAGGGAGGGGAAGGGCTGGGTGACTCCTCGACTAGAGGCAGGGCTCAGGACAGATGCCCAGCTTAAGGTCAGTACTACTCAAAGCTACCCATGTCCTCAAGTGTTTCTGCCCATGCCTGTCCACTCGGGCCTGGGTCCTGTGCTGGGTGTGGCAAACAGGAACATCCCCAACCCCTCAGGGTGTCTGGAAAAGGCAAGGAGGGAGGATGCCACTCTTTTCTGTGGCCACATCTCAGTAGGACCTGATGAGCACTGACTGGCTGCTGGCTCTGCCCTGACTGAGGTGACCCAGGCCAGGTCTCAGTTTGTGATGAGTGTGGGGTTACCTTTGCAAGGGGGCGGAAAGACCATCAGCAGAGGAAGGTCTGCCCAGGAGGGAATGTGAAGAGTGTGCACAGGTATGCGTAGCCAAGCATGAGCTGTGGAGCTGCAGCCAGGGCCCAAGGCGAGCCTGAACAAGGCTGTGTGTATGCGTGTGTGTGTGTGTGTGTGTGTGTGTGTATGTGTGTGTGTAAAGGAGACTGAGAGCTGAGCCATAGGACAAGGCAGTGAGCGGGTAAGGCAGCATGGGGTTGATTATGCGTTCCAGCCTGGATTCTCTCTACCTCATCTCTGCCCCTTTCTGTTCCTCAGCAGAGGCGGAGGAACCCCCAGGAAGGCGTGTACAACGTAAGTATGGGAGACTTCACCATTCACCCCACAGAGCTGGAAGACGGCTGGAGGAGGGGCTGCCCCCTCTCCAGTCTTTCTGTCCAGGCCATCCTTTCCCTGGATGGTCATGTGTCACATGCTGGTAGCTTCAGAAAGTCCCCTTAAGCTGAGCAGTGTCCCAGAACCTCATCTTTGTCTTGTTGCTGTCCCTGAGCCTTGATGTATAGTTCCAAAGCCTTTCTCTCTGCGTCTAACCTGAATTGTCTAGTGTACAGAGCAGGTGGATCAGAAGATTCCACCATCAGGCCGAGAAGCACGGTATAGAGTTGTTTGTGGGCAGCATGGATAAGGCTTGGAGCCTCGACGACTGGAGCCTGCCAGCTTGGGAACCCGGAGGCTTCTGGGGGAAGGCCCACTCTGTATCAGCTAAGAGGTATGCCACTTCTCTTCCTCCAGGCATTGCAGAAAGATAAGATGGCAGAGGCCTACAGTGAGATCGGGATGAAAGGCGAGGTGAGTGCTGCTGCTCCCTGACGCCCCAGGATTCCTTCTGGTCTTTCAGACATTCCAGCCAGTCTTCCTTTCCCACCCATTCCTCCTCCAACTGAGAAAAGCCCATGTGACAGCTGCCATGGGGTCCCCTGGTGGGGGAAGGGTGAGGAGGATGAAAGTGTATGGCCCCTTGTTCATTAATGATTTCATAAGAATTTCAAAATACCAAGGCCAGAGCATTGAGTTCCTCTGAGTCGGGGTTCCTGTGCAACCCTGTGTGGCCAGGGCCTTCCACAGGGAAGACTTGAACTCCCCTCAGGAGGAGCAGGGTGAGGACTGGCTCTGCATCAGAACCATCTTCTGGTTGCTGTTCTCAATCAGCCTTTCCGATGGCACAAGATATCGGAGTCATGGGGAGGTTCATTTATTCCAGGCAGCCAGCAATATATGCTGCCCAGAACCCAAAGATCTGACTTGGGCAGAATGAACCGGGCCCCTATCGGATCCACGGGTCACCTTATTCTATGGAGGCGAAGGTCTGCCTAGTGGCCTCAGGCCTCTTCTCTATTGGGGGAGGGAGGGATGCTGGTCAGGAAACATTCCATCCTGATCCCTTGAGTAGGGGCAGTTGTGCGGCCGCTGACTCTCTTCCTTTCTAATCTCGGTTCACAGAGGCGGAGAGGCAAGGGCCACGATGGTCTTTACCAGGTAAGAGCTGCTGCCCCCTCCCGGGCAGTACCATCTGACTTGGGGTAACATTGAAGCTACTATCCGCTTGCTTCCTGATGATACCAGTCTTGTCAACAGCCAGGGAGAGCAAGCCCAGGCCACACAAGCAGACCAGAGGCCAGTCCACTGCCATTACGTTTCCACAGCTGGGTGGGGACTCAGCTATGGAAGCCACATGCCATATGGGTAGGGCAGACAATAGCAGCTATCTAGATGATGGGAAGGGAGGCCCTGGAGGTACAGGCAGAAATAGGAAAAGGGCCCTACATGGGTGACTATTTCCTTCGTCTACTGTTAGCTTAGCTCTGCCCCCCAATTCCAAGATTTAGTAAGACCTAAGAGAGTGGGCAGGAAGATTGAACAACAACAAAAAGGCAGTTTCAAAAGAAAAACTGTTACTGTAATTAGATGCCTGTTTTATGTAAATCAGTGCAAGTGATTATGCAAACTATGTGCAGAGAACCTACTTTTCTAAAAAGGGATCGCCAGTGGCTTCATCTTTCTTGTTGCTGGGCTTGCCTGAGTGCCATGATATCCAAAGCTGCTCACTGGCTTACCTTTCCAGTCCCTGGAACAGGGAGAGAGGACTTCCAGCCAGACTGTGTCCAGCGTAGGCCCCCTGTCCAAAGAATATACCACAGGTTCCAAAGCCTGGAAGCTCCTGGATATGGGCTGAGGTCAAGGAGCAGCTACTTTCCCTGTGGCTGCTCCAGACTTTTCTGTGGATCCTTGTACCAGATTCTCTGGTATCTCCCAGATTCTAGCTCAGTATGTGACATGGGGAAGCTGCCTTCCTCTGCTTAGATGGGAAGTCTGATGGGTCCTGGTGCTGCACAGTACAGTATTGAGAAAGAGTTGAGGAAGGAGCAAGAATCAGGATTGAAAGGGGTTGCTTCAGAGCCCATCTTTCTGCCAGCATTCTCAGGCAAGACTCCCACCTGTGGCACGAGGGGACCTTCTCGGGCTCTGGGAACCCGGCTGTGGGAACCACGGATGAGCTACAGATTGTAAACTTGTACCTGTGGGCTCCTGCTCATTGTTCTGTGATTTGCTTTCACCAGGGGCTCAGCGCTGCCACCAAGGACACCTATGATGCCCTGCATATGCAGACCCTGCCCCCTCGCTAACAGCCAGGGGATTTCCCACTCACAGGCCCCACCTGATGACATCAATTGTGAAGGACGGAGACAAAGCATTTACAATTCAGTTTATTAATTTCGCAGTCACCGTTTTACGAAGAGGACGATTCCAGTCATCACGTTTTTCTTCTACAGCTCCAAAGCGCCCTACACAGAATGTCATCCCTGGACTCTTTAAAGGGAGAGTCCCTCTCAGTCTCATACCACAGCCCTGTTCTTGGGTCTTCTGGCAGGCCCCTCTCACTGCAGAGCCAAGCCCTAGCCAGGGGTCGGGGGTGGGGCATTACCATACTTCCTCTCATAGCTGAGTTCAGTTTGCTTTGTAAAATCCCCAGAGAAGCCCCGGGTACTGTGTGTGTATTGTTCCAGTGGTATTGACTTGCTTCGCTCCTGCTGTAAAATCTGGCTTCTGTTGTCATCCTTCCCAGTGGCAAGATAACATGTAATTAGGCCACATTGTGAAAGGTCTGAGGGGGCCCTGGCAAGTGTCAGTGGTGGCTGAAAGGGAAGCCACATGCAGGGGAGCAGTTACAAGGGGCCTCCTTCCATCCTTTCCAAATCTCCTTACCATTGTGCCAGGTATCCTGGGAGTAACGAAAAGATGCTTTACCTTCATGGATACCATGCTCTTAGAGCGCAAATGGTTTGCGCACATAGAGGCATGGAAAGCAGGATGTCATCACTGACAATGAACTAAGCCAAGTGGGTGAGAGAAAATGAGCAAGTCCCACCTTCTTCCAGGGACTCCGCTCAACCCCTCTTGAGTGGCAGGAAGACCCAGACCACCCAGGTCTGCAGGTACAATGACAGACTCAGTCAGTAGACTGCAACCTCATGGTATAATTAAAGTGCCTGTGCCCATGGATAGAGAACCTGCTGATCTCCTGGGTTTTAACTTATACTGGCTTGCTAAATAAAGCCTCGCTATTTTGCATAATAAATGCTTTGCTAAAAATGTTGTTTGAAGCCTTACTTCAGTGGTGAAGCCTGGGGTAGCGATGGAGACAAGAAATCCGTAGGCTGCCTCTGCAGAAAGTGAAAAATTACTGATTCAGTTAGATGGGTACCAGTACATGAAGCCATTCAAGCTGTACAAGCTGCCGGGAGGCAGTGTCTGTGCAGAATGCAGCATTAGGCTATGCCTCCATACGGGGAAATGCCCAGTCAAAGAATGGAGGCCTGGTCTTCTAACTGGAACAGCAGAGGATGGCGGAAGGACTTCCCAACGTGAACCTCACGGTGGAGAGCAGGACAGCTCGGGGGAGTAACACTGAGCAGAGCATCCAGGAGTGACAGCAGCTGCCATGGCATTCATGTGGGTGGAGCATGGACAACATTATTTTTAGGTCAGCCTCCCTCACCAAGAGACCTCAGTACTGCCTTCTCTAAGTGGGGCGTCTCTTACATAACTCCCAGTTCACCAAGCCCAACTAATGAGAGAGGAAAAACTGAAATCTGTACCCTTTTCAAAAACAGAAATCCAAGGCTATCTGTTAAAAGGCACCGAAAAATTAGGGATTCCAACAATCTTAGCAGCGTATAAAGGCTTTCTACATGCAACCCGGTCTTGCAGGGGCTGTCCACTCACCTCTAAGGCTGAGGTTAGGGTCTTTAGAAACAGTGTGTCTGATATCCTGGCCTGGTCTGGGCCTCATATCAAGATCAGCGGATTGAAGATGGGTGGAAAAATAAGAGTTTGACCCAGTTGTTATGAACGTGTCTCTTAGGCAAAGGGGAGAGCTGGCAGTGAGCTACCGGGCAGGGGATCTTACCTGCAGTATAAATACAGAAAAAGCCAGCTGTGAGGGAGCTGAGCAGGTCAGACAGACTCACAACATCAGAGTCAGGGAAGCAGAGTTGCTGGGAGATGTGTCACCATGTCCAAGGTGACACTGCTTATTTCTGGGACAGGCAGGACTCCTGCCCTGCCTGACACCTGGCAGTCAACTTTCTGTAATAGGGCCAATCTTCTATTGTGGATACTACTAGCTGTAAGATACGGAGTACTATCATTTGGTTCAGAGGGTTTAAAACAAACAGTCCTATTTCACGGTTAAAATGTAAAGCCATGTATCGTTAAAAAAAAAAAAAAAGAGGGCTGGAGAGATGGCTGAGTGATTAAGAACTTGTTCCTGGTCTTTGGAATGAGAGACGGCTCTTCACAGGGCAGTGCCTCATCACCTTACCCCACAGAGAGTACTATGGGGCCCTGGAAGCAGCTAAAATACAGCTACTTTGTCACAGTCTCAGTCCTTATTAGAGTCTCTTAGGTATGAAGATGCCATTGTCTCTACTGAAGAGGATGTTGAAAATTTGAAATTACCTTAAAAAATAACTTTACAGACTTACATGCAAGACATAAATATTAGAAGGGAAAGAATGGGGGAAAAAGTTGATTTAGGAGCTAAAGAAAGGCAGGGCTTCTGTATGTCTTTTGGCTTTGACACTCTATCACTTTGAGATGGGGTCTTGTCAGCATATGGCTGTCAGGGGCACTTCCCAAAAGCTCAAGTCTTCTCTCTTTGGGGGAAGTATAGGATTCCATTTTCCTTATGCAATTGGTGGTTGGATGAAGTGCCAGATGATTAGCTGTCTAGAAGGCAGAAATTTAGGCACACAGCAGGACGAGAGACCAGTTGGGATGTGCCACCTTCAGAGGATTCTCTCCCACCATTCCTGGTTCAAGGCCTGGGAAGAAATGCTGGAGGCTCCTGGTCCTGTTAGTCAGCCAGGCAGCCAACAGAGCCAGGAGAGTCAGGCTCAACCCCTGTTACACACAGTGAGACTGAGCTTTGAGGATCCTTGCAGCGTCAAGTCAAAAGCCTGCGTGTTTGATCCTACAAAGCAGCCAGCTCTGAAGGAGACTACTGCTCCTTAACTCGGGGTTCCACTAAACCCCACGGAGGGTGTGGAGAAGGAAAAACAGTGACCAAAGCTTATTAAGAAAGCCAGGTGGGGAGTATGAGGCTAAGGTGCTTAGGTTCTGAGGTTCTTAGGAAGAGCTGTGGGGAGAAGTGATTTGGAGGGCCCGTGTGAGTAGCTGTGCATATGCCCGTGTAAAGCAGCAGAATACCGGGCAACAACTTCACAGAGACACAGACAATGTGAAAACACTTGGAAAATGGTTTAATGTTTTACAACAGAAATTGGAACTGTACAGTTACAGTAAGTTTAATATATATAAAAAATTACAGCAGACAAATGCATCTACACAAAACCCACCATTTCATTCTGTTTCACTGGCATCCACACATTCTCTCCAAGCCCCAGCCCCTCTGGCAGCCCCAGGAGGGGCAATCACATAAAGGGCACTTTTTAAAGAGACAGCACCGCTCATAGTCTCCACCATTTCCCCAGGCCTCTGGAGGCATCAGCTAATCCCCAAGAAGTCGAACTGTTTGTGTTTCAGGTTTTCCAAACCAAGAAAAACACATTTCCCAGGGGCACAGATAACAAGGGCCAGTGCTCCAGGCTACCAGCTGATTTTGATAAACTATCTCCATCAAAGGAGAAATGGCACAGATGCTCTGTGGCAGTGGGGCTACACAGCCACCCAGACTGCAAAGCCATCTTAAGGAGAAATGTAAGAGGACACCCAGTAACTACGCAGGAATTGCCATCGCTTCATCAAGCTTCTGGGCAATTCTGCAAAGAATCATGTACATCATATTGTAAGTTTCCACAAAGAAGAACTCAAACTCACATTTTAAAGTACATAAAATAACATATTTTGGGAGGCCAAGGTACCAATTCCCCTTGTGTTCCTCCCTTGACAACAGTGGAAAAACACCCCTGAATCAATATTAATTTAAAAAAAAAAAAAGAAGGAAAAAAGAAGTGGGGAAGATTCTTAAAGACAGAAATAAACATCTTCAGAAAAACACAATCACCGTCTCTTTAAAAGCGGACCCCAGCTGGGCAGTCATGATCCCACGCTCACGTGGACACTGGTGGAGATTGTTACTGAATAGTATGTACACTCAGAATCTTTCATTTTTATTATCAACACCTAGGCAGTGAAAACTGTTATGTTAATACATACAGACACACCCAAAACATACAAAAATACTATTATTTCAAACTACCAAGAATAAGACAGCTCAATTATTTCATGCTATGACTTTAAGAGCATTACACTGAAACAAACAAGAAGTTAAACGACATTTTTCTTTTAATATCCTGGAAATATACCAAAATATACATCTAAGCTTTGGAATTACTGAGGTTAGACTAATGCAAGTGCTGGGTAATCGTACTTAATACACAAGTCTAAGGTTCTGCAGGAAAGAAATTGTCTTTGGTATCTGCATCAGGCTAGTATTATTAACATTTGGATTTTGCTTTGGGATAGAGCTTGTATGACCCTAGAACCAAACCCCCCCTCCCCCAATCAACTGAGATTAGAAAGATCCATGTAAAAATTTCCTTCATTTGCGACTCCCTAACCCACCCACCCCAAGTTAAAAAGTCACAGGCATCTACCTAGCACAAAGGTTATGAAATACAATGCATAGTTGCACAGTGCGCTGCAAAAGGAAACAAAACTACAAATAAGATAAGTCTGATAATCATTCTGCATGTTTCCTCACAAACAGGACAGCCACTTCCAAGCAGTTCCAGTAACAGAAAAGAGAAAGAAGGCTTAGAAGGGCCCTGGGTGGAGACCCTGCCCCAGAGGAGAAAGCACCCAGCAGAGCAGCCAATCCTGTGCCAGCGTCTTCAGCTTCCCCACTCTGTGGAGTCTGTGGCCACCCTGTAGCAACTCCCAGCTCTAAGGCTCTGTGCTAAGCTCTGGGGGTGACCCTGGCTGCCATCACATGGGTCCCATGAGTTGTGATGGTGATGAGATTTTGGCTTTTGTAAAATCTGATGTGCCAATTTCTTTCATGCATGCTCTGCTCACCAAGCGGGTAAGGGCCAAGAATACTAAGCATGCACCTGAACAAAACCCTCAACTTGGAAAGAAACTTGCTTGTCCTTTTGAGCTGACCAGAAGTGTCCCCACCTATCCTTGGGCATGCCTCGAAGTGCCAGGATACCACAGACTGGGTTGAGGCCGAAGACTTCCCTTTTCTTTGGTTTTTTTGTTTGTTTTGAGTTTATACAATCATTAAGAAATCTTTGGTTTTGGCTGGAAATGGAAAGACAAAACAAAACAAAGAAACCACCCTCCCCTGGCTTATAGCAGCAGTATTATGACCTGGCCTGGCTAAGCTTTTTTCTCCCCAACTTTGGGGATGGGAATTGCAAGTTAAGAACTACATTCAAAGAAAAACGTTGAAAGGGCCGGAGATGCAGCGTCCAGAAAGCCCGTTGGATATAAGATTGTCAAATAATAATAATTATAATAATATTAATAATATAAACTTAAAGATTTGGAATTATTTTTTGGTCATGTCACACAGGAAACAAGTGAAATGTATATGCGGCAATCAGCTTAAAAGAACCTTTGGTGTCTTTTCTACCAAATCCTGGCAATGAACAGAAACCCAAGGCTTCAGAGGGGAAATGTCAGCCTTGACCCCACTTGGAAAAGGCAAGGACAGAAGCTGATGTGTATCCAGCAGCTAGAAATAAGGGGCAGACTGGGGAGAGGCCAGCTGGCAGTCCTTGAAGGCAAGATGGTGGGGGAGACATGTTAAGAGACCTGTGAAGATCCCTGGCAATGAAAAGAAACACAAGATTGCAATTTGCCCTCAGTTTGTAGTAGCTTCAAAGAGACATTCAGAGGCTTGAGGTGGGTGGGGAGAGGGGTTGTCCCACCCTAGGTGACAGGTCTAGTGATGCTATAGGCCAGAGTTTAATGTTGCTGAGAAGAGGGAGGGCAGACTTGGCAACTCTGTAGGGCTGAGAGGAAGTTAAAGCAAGTCACTCAGTCACGAGTTAGAAATGAGGTATACAACAGCTCCTGGACAAGTGGTGGGCAGAGAACCCCACACTTACTCACCTAGCCTCCACTACCACAGACGAGAGGAATGGCTGAGGCCCACTGTGGGGACAGGGTACCTCCCTCAGTGAGCCTTCCTGTGGACTGAGTAATGCACACATTCCCATGGAAGCAGACGTAAGGAGTGAAAAGAAGTCTTTCTCCTGCCATCTGGTCTTAGAGGAGACCATTTACCATTCATATTGTAGAAAGCCAATGTTGTAATATGGTCACAGTCTTGGAGGACATGCCACTCCCACTCCCACATTGTTTGCAACTTACCTAACCAGGCTAGCACTAACTAGCTCACTTCACCTAGAAAGCATGTGCCTTCTGCAGACTCCTGTAGGAATGGAAACTAAGACACACCTCCCCCAGCCAACCTACTACAGTGCTCCTAACAGACACTTACCAGTGTGCGAAAGTGCACTTCATTTCCTCCTATAATTTTCGGGGTCTGAATGGGCATTGACTGCCCACTGTTATCTTATGAGATCATATAAAGAACTCCCATGCACAGACGCTTCCTTGTTGAAATAGCACTGTAGCCAGCTGTCTGCCTGCAGACCTTGGGATACAGTGATGGAGATCAAAACCACTGTCAAGTTAGGAAAGAAGCTTGAAGCTGCTTTTGTGAGGTTGTGGCTATATTAAACAGTGATGAACAAGTAAAGAAAACATGAAAAACTTTGCAGCAGACCTCAGCTCCTCCCTCCCCTCCCTTAGTACATTAGTTTGGGGTTTGTAAGTTTCTGACAGTGTCCTGGATTTGAACCAGAAGGTGACAAGGGAGGTGGAGTCCTGTGCAGTGTGGGCAGACTCAGAGATGCAGAAGAATCATAAACTGTTTCCCGCCCTGAACCTGGGAGCTTCATTTTCACAGTTGAAATGATGTTTATGATGCATACATTGGTACCCACAGCATTTGTTTCAAGTGCTCTTATTTTCAATATCCCTATTCCATATAAACCTACCTAATGCTTTGAAAAGTCACACAACATTAACACTACATCTATATAATGTCAGAATAACAAGTAAAGCTTTCATGAAGTTTAGCAACCTGATCACGTTTGTTGGCCTTTTGGTTTCTCCCTGTCTATGTTTATGCCTAATAATGAACTTAACTTCCCAGAGGCCATATCCTAAAAACACCACGGAGCAAAACAGCACTACAGGAGTAAGAAACTATCACGTGGCTGTAGTCCGTTCTTCCTAACTAAATACTGTTATCTAACAGGTTGGATGGGTACTTTTATTTGGAAGAATTAGATAAAGGAAAATAAAAATTCAACTACTTTTCTTTTTGGACTCCCCAAGTTTCTTTCTTGGCAAGAACATCAATGTTAGGCTGAATAACTTGACTCATTTTCACAGAGCAGCAGGGAGGAACAGTATCAATCTCTTCCCAAAGCCAGAGAGACCAAAAGAACGACTTCCAAGAAGTAAGGAAGGAGTGAAGGAAATGGGAAGAACAGAGACAAGATAAAGCTCTTCTTTTCCAACCTCAGTGTTTTGCTTTATCCCCTCTGACTGTTTGGAAAGCTTGAGAATAAGCAATGGTATAACAGTGTCTTTGGTATCAAAATCAAATCCCACTCAAGTTCTGTGAGACGGGACATTTATCTAAAAAAAAAAAAAAAAAGTTCTTGAGATATAGTTTATATTAGGACTAGGGAGCCAAGAAATTCTGTCCCAGAATGAGGGCAGAAAGGTTTAATTTTTCCCTAAGCTAACATAATTTCTCACTCACATGTCCCACAAGAAGGAGCAACACTTCCCCCAACTTATCAACCAATCCTTGAACGGCACGCCTTATTGCAGGTGCCAAGTGTGCGGCTAGCTCTCAACTTCTTGGTTTGAGTTTTCTTTTGTTTGTGTTTTGGTCTAAACAGAATAATCCCTGGTATAAGAAAAGGAAATAAAGTTTTAAAGCTGTTGGGCTACTACTAGTACAGCATTCACTAACATGGCAGAGATGACTCATTTTACCTTAATTTTCCTAGATCAAGATACATCACTCACCTCTCCACTCCTCTCCAAATTCCTTGGGTACATGTCTCTATCTGTCTCTTTTCACCTGCAAACCTGGACATGCACATACTCTTCCTTTGCCTAAGCTTTGCTATGTACAGAGGTAATGGATCACCAGGAGAGGCTGGTGGGTCTGGGGGTGGGGCATGACAGCCACAGACACAAAGGGTTGTAAATCTGCCCCTGGGCATCCTGAACCTACTGGACACCTCACATCACCTGCATGGTTCTGCACATTGTGCTGCATATCAGATCGTAAAGGCCTCAAACCCCCAACCCAATCATAGGGAATATCAAGTTTCCTTTGGCAAGAAAGATATAAAGAAAAACAAATACACACAAGCAGTATTTTCCTTCTAACATAATCAATTTCTCCTTTCTCCCAACCCAACCCTCCCTGACCCTATAAACAGGATCCCAAATACATACAGCATCAATCATGTTCATCAGTCATAATAAACATTAGTTCAACTAAATACTACAGCTAGAATTATTTCCACTATTTATAAATTTTTTTTTTCTTATGCTTATTTGGTTTCTCAGTCTAAAGCCAGTTCTGCAACAATGCTAAGCTATGCTGAGGTATTTTATGAAGGTGCCAGAAGCCGATACCCACGAGCATTATTCTCACAGATTAAGGTACCACACCACTCAAAAGAAAAAAGGGAAGGAAAAGAGGCAGAGAGATCCAGATCACTGAATCAACATGTGACTCACTCAAACTTACTGCTTCCAGTAAAGGCCAGGAGAAGAGTCAATCTATGGAACTAGCTCATGAATAGAGCAATGGTTACAAACAAAACAAAACAAAACAAACAAACAAACAAAAAAAACCCAGATCACAAATCATACCAAATATTGGGTGCAAACTGGACAGCTTCTGAGGAACAGGTTCCCTGCCCTTCTGGAAGAACCTTACACTTACTCTCCATGGATGAAGAGGATGAGGCAAAGAGGATTCCATCAACCTTTAATAATGACAGCAACTCATTTTCACTTTTTCAATTCATGCTATGTGTGTACTGTGTGTGCCATCCATGCAAAACCTATGGAATAGTGGCTCTTATTCTCAGAGGAATGGCAAAGAATTACTTTTCCTCCTCAAATTAAAAGAAACTATTAATAAAGTCTTACTTTTACAAGTATCTGAAAATGATTTTCAAAACAGCCAGGGCTCTCACTCTCTTTTGGTTTTTGAGACAAGGTTTCTCTGTATAGCTGTGGCTGTCCTGGAACTCACTCTGTAGACCAGGCTGGCTTTGAACTCAAGAGATCCTCCTGCCTCTGCCTCCCAAGTGCTGGGATTAAAGATGTGCATCACCAGGGATCTCTTTTATAACATGGCAAATGCTGTTCATACCCACAAATAAAAGTAAACTCATAACAGTTATGAGTAAATTATTACATCAGTTTCTGCCCATGTGGATAATTACAGGTCTCAGGTCTTTTAGTATTTTCCTCCCATTAGTATTGGTCATCTTTGATGTTTTCAGTTCTATAGAGTTTGAAGAATAAGTACATTCTATGTTCACCAACTTCAGAGGCCAGATTAAGGTTCTGTTCAAGTGTTCCTAATGAGTTGCTGAGGTCCTTTCTTCCATCTTACCAAGTGCTCACATCATAGACTAGTCTGTGAGTTCCTCAGGGCCAGGGTCACCTCAGGCTACCAGCATCAAACTGTGTTCTGCACTGTTGGACAGCATTTCTCCTATCTCAGGGAAGAACAGGAATAGGTATCTCTTTGCCTAAGTTCAATGACCTTATTTCTCTCTTAGTCAAGAAAGATTTGTGAGGATGACATGGCTTAAGAAGAACTTCTTTTTTTTTTTTTTTTTGGTTACATAATATCTTTATATCTACAAATGTACCTGGCGTTTCCAGCAAGTTAAATGTTTAATGATTGAGCTGAACTAAAGTAACATCAAGCAAAACCCTGTGCTTCTGGATAATGAAGAGATTATTTCCCCTATCTTCCCAAATAACTGAAGGATAGATAACAGACATAATAACATTAAAGAGGTATAATTGTGCTTTTTTCCTAAAACAAATGAATGATGATGTAGAACATATTGGCAAGATGATCACACCCAAAATCTTTAAACTGATACTGTCCCTTTAAAAAATTTCTAATAAAGCTTATGAAATATATACAGGCTGGTTCTACACAAGATGAAAGCCAGATTCCTTTGGTTCCATTCTGGAGTAACAACTTACATCAACAGGATGGTACTGACCTTTCTGACAACAGATAAAAGGAAGTTAATGGATAGAATAATGTTTCCTCATTCTACAGAGCTGCCTATAGGGCTTCAGAGACATTCAAACTAACACAACACTCTACTCTTCCTAGGACAGTAATACTGTTCTTGTGAGAAGCCTTTCAGATCTTTCTGTTGTCATTTGGATTCACATAGGGAATAAAGTTTATGCCCAACTGCACTGCTTAAACAGGATTAAAGCATTACATTCACTACTCTCCAGGGAGGGCCCATTATCACAGGCAAATATAGTATCCCCAAAAATGCATTTCAAGTTAGTCTTTGGCTTACTATGTGCTAACTAAATTCAGGAATGAAATAAAGCGAACATAAACGACAAGGGGAGGAAAATAAGAATGAAATAACAAGTTGTAACAACGTATCTGGAGTTTCTTTTGTTAATGCAGAAACGCAACTGAACACCTCTTTCATAGTCAAATGACCCCTTTAGTTTCCAGACTCCCTCATAAAAGGCAGCTAAACATTTTAACTCTGAGTACTTTAGCTTAGAAGACAGTTCAATCAGTTCAAAAAGCATCTGAGATCATAAAAGAAAAAAAAAAATGGAATCAAGTAAAAAATAGGCAAGGTGTTTGTGAAGTGGTAGGGAACAGAATGTTTAGGGATGGTGATGGAAGGTGAGTTTAGCCTGAACACCCACGAGCAGGTTTAGTAGTGTTTCATGAATACATGTATAAAGTACCTTTCATTTTACAACTTAATTTTAAATACATTAAAAAGGGGAGGAAAAAAATTAAAGTAACCTTTGTCTAAAGATGTTTTCTTCTCAGTACAGTATTTATGCTGGTTTTAAGGTCTATCTATCCTCAAATGAACTACATAAAAAGGCAGCAATCCTTTCTCAAACTGACTAGACACTACAAACAGGAGGGCTGACTGGACTGACACAGCTTAGTATCATTTTTAAAACCGAAGTCTACGGGGGAATCTTCTTTGGGAAAAAGATTCTTTTAACCACAAAGGACAAAACAAAACAGTCTTTCTCCGTCCTTCTTAACTCCCTGGCCAGGTCTCTTGGGACTCTAGACTTCCTTTGGTAGCAATTTTGGAAATTAATGCTATAACTTTTAATCTGTATGGTGGGTAATTAGCATTGTTCTCCCTGAATTCTTCCTCCTAACTTCATCATTCCAAAGGGAGGGACTCTCTGCTAGGGGCAGAAACAGTACTGACAGTCCTAAAATCACATGCACATACTAAAGTTAGAGCGTTAAGTCAAGATAAAAGATTAAATTAATAAGAAAAAGCTGATGGGGAGGAGAGAAATTAGTAAGTGACACAGCCATTCTATTTACACAGTCACCTAAACAAACTAGCTAAAAATCAAGGTAATGTCTGCCCAGAGGATATTACAATTTACCAATACAAAAGATTAAAAATAAGCAGCAACTTTCACATAAAATTAATCAAGAAAACTGAATAAGAAATTGTCAGTAGCATCTATCTCCTCAATGTATTTGAACTGCACATTATAATTAGTCCATTAGTACAGCAGCTTGCTAAAAATTGACTTTGGTTCAAGCTTAGTTTAAAAAATAAACAAAACAAAACAACACAAAAAAACCACCCACTCCATACAAAAATAGGTGGATGAGCATCTGTTAGCTCCCTGCTTGCAGTTCACTGATTTTTCGAGGGATTTTAGGAAAAGTTAAGGGTAACAGAAATTATTTGGAGGTGAAAATTAAATACTCTGGGAAATAAACAAAAGGAGCTCAAGAAAAATTTAAAGGGGACCAAAATGTTTCTGACCTTTAATATTAATATGACCTTCTCCCAACTGATTCACAATGAAAGGTACACACTTGTGTCTGTGTTACTGCCTTTCTGCGTAACAGTACAGGCAGACAAACGCACAGAATCCAAGTTTTCTGTGGACACAAGCAAAGCAATCAGAAGGCAAGTCACTCTCAGCTCAAAGTGCAGACCACCAGAAACTGAAGCAAGCACCCTCAGACACCAGATGGAAACCTTTAACTCCAATAAGGACAACTTAGATGAGCTTCATTGCAGTGATCCAGTCATTTGTGAAAATTCTGGTATAGATAGTATAATAATAGCACATTGGCAAAGGGGGGAATTTAATCTCTAAATTACCCTCATTCATCTTCATCCATTTTCACAAGCTCTTCCTTTTCAATGGGCTCATTTATGTAGTCTAGAAACACCCTAAAAACAATTACAGGAGCAAATCACTTTTTTACATTAAATAAGAGATGTGTGTCGTCATCAGATCTACATAGCAGGGGCATAACAAACCAGGAGACTTCAGGCTTTGAAGTTCCTGCTCAGCTTTTCTCTGAGGTTCTACAGCTACCTTGCCCAGCCAGGAAAGTGCCTCTGTCAATTAGAGAACTGAGGAAAATCTCAGGCTTAGAGAAACATGTGAGCCACTCAGTGGACAGGAAGTCTGTGACTCTCTAGAGGAAAAGGTGGCAAACTCAGGCTCTTCATATTGGCCTCTCTGGGAAATGTAATTAGTAGGAAACAGTCCAACAGAATTTCCTTAGAAAAAAAAGGAAGAGATTTGTTTCCCAATTTCAGTAAGTCAATTTGAGCTTGACCAGGTAAGTTAAAGGAAGTTTGGATGAAAAATTTTCATAAAATGAAAACAAACAAGCAAACAAACAAATATCAACAGTAGGAGCATTTTTTTTTTTTTTTAAAGCGATCAGGAGAAATTAGGAGAGCCACCAAGTCAGGTGTCTGCAGTAGTCTTTGCTCTTCGGAACCAAACCCTGCCCTGCAATAGGCACAGCTGTTCCCATCGGAAGTAGCAGAGAGCAGCTCTGTTGCACCGCAGGGTCTGGGCCTCAGGGCTGCTCAATGATTTGGGGGTGAGTGAGAGCTACAGTTCAGCAGGAATTCCTTCCTACACAAAAGTGCTCCAAAGGCACCACCTGATGGGGGAGGGGTGTGTGTGAAGTAGGAGTGTTTGCACACACTGCCTTCAGCTTCTGCACCAAGCCTCTTGCATAAGTGGCAAAAGAAAATCATTTTCTAGCACCTCTGTAAGAGTCATCAAGGATAAGGAAACCAGCAAGAACATTCCTGGAAGTTAAGAACGTGGGTCTCCCTTTATCCCCAAACCCTCCCTCCCCACAGTGTGGGAGCTCACTGAAACAGGATCCAGGAGCAAGAGATAAACATGTCCAATATATATATATATATATATATAAACAATAACAGAGATACAGTAATACAGGCCTGCCTAAATTGTACCAGTTAAGAAAGGAACCCCCAACACAATTGATATGATTATAAACACCTTATGACTTAATGGCCTGCACAACAGACCTATAAAAATGATTTTTTTTTTAAGGAAAAAAAAAAAAAAGAAAGAAAGAAAGAAAGAAAGAAAGAAAGAAAGAAAGAAAGAAAGAAAGAAAGAAAAACAAACCCCTTCCTCTATTGGAACTGGTAACCCACCTTAGCTTGTCATCATGACTGCTGGAAATGATAAGTAGTCCTTTTACTTATTTTTGTCTGTCTGTTTTTGATTTTTTGTTTCTGTTTTTTTTTTTTTTCCTTTTAAATTTTTGGTTAGAAAGTTCTCCAATCCATGAAGCAATCCTGAAAAGACATTGTTTTATTATAAAATTAGGCAAATGTTGTCCTGTCTCTATTGTTTTTTTTTTTTTTTTCTTGTATGTGTATTTTTCTTCTCTCCATGTCTTCCTCATTCTCACAACACGGTGGGAGGAAGCCAATCACACTTGTCAGTTTCTTAGACAGCTGGTAGCCCATCGCCCTGCAGTGACGAAGGCCTGTGGCAGCCCAGCTCACTGTGCCTTGGAGGCGGTGGTGGTGGTGGCAGCAGCCCCGCTGGCAGAGGCTACTGTGAACAGAGAGTTCTGGATGGACTCAGCTGAGGTGGAGGAGGCATGAAGGCTGGCTGTGGGTGCGGAGTTCCCTGTGGAGGCTGCTGCGGCAGAAACCAAGCTTACTGGGTTGCTGGTGAGCAGAGAGAGGTTCTGAGGGTTCAGGAACAGAGGGGCAGTCACGATGTTGGGGGCTCCTCCTGCATTGGCAAATACCAGGTTCCCAGTTGCATCCAGTGACGTTATTGGAAGAGAACCACTAGAAGCAAGAGCTATAGAGGAAGAACAGGAGAAACATTAAATTTCACCCTGAAAAAGTCAAATAACCCATCAGCAAAGTTCTACTCAGCAGCAGGGTGTAGCTCTTGGCTGGTTCTTCCCTTTCCATTATAATGCTACGCTGACACAAACTCAAGTTTATTTATAATTCTGAAGCATCTAAAGAACAGAAAAGTCAATTTAATGAGTATAAGCAAGACAAATTGATAGGGAAAAGTTATGAGAACTGTGTAATCAATCAGTCATGCTTCTATTTTTAAGTGTCAAATTTGTATCATTTACTTACAAGTAAGTGATAAATCCAGTAACTGTATCTTTTCAATGGAACTGATTTAAAACTATCTCCATTCCAAAGACTTCTAAACTGATTGAAATACTAAAAATGTATTTGGCTTTTACCAACTCAACTGCCATTATTTGACAATTTCATATTATTTGAGAATTTCATATAAAATGAAAGCTACCTTTCCAAAGCCTTTAGTCATGAGACAATTTACATGTCACTAATAAATAAAATAAGAAGGCACAATTTAAAAACTGTTTTTTGTACTTCTAGAGGCAGAACACTGGACTCTTACAAATACGCCACCACTCCACACCGTTATCTTCACGTGGGAATGGAACTGGAAAGCTTTACTTGAAGAAGCTAGCCTTGAGACAGGTTAACATCAGTAGGAAAAGAAATCTACCTCCAACTCTATTCACATAAGAAAGTAAAGTCCAGATTTCCTGAAATACACCAAACTATGTATTGTTCTCACAAACTAGCCTATGCGTTCTACAAAGCTTTTTTTTTTTTTTTTTTAAAACAGGGACATCTTGATCCTCAAGAACAATTTAATCAGCATTCAACTCTCTTTCTTCCTCATCTTTATTTCCAGCAAAGCCAGCAGCTTCCACTACACTAGCCAGCCCCTCCCCTCCCCCCAAACACACACACAAAGCAAGAAAAAAAAAAAATGCTACTGACCTTGAATAGTTGCCAGTGTACTGTTGCTCATCAGGGCTGGGCTGAGAGCACCACCCAGAGTTCCCGGATTGAGACTGAGTAAGGCACCTCTGCAAGTGCAAAGGAGAAGTCACTCTACTGCCATGTAGACATACCTATCAGTGTTACACCATCCCCAAACTGATAAAAAACAAAACAAAACAAAACACAACAACAACAACAACAACTTCAGCTTGGGAAACATATGGGATCTTTGTTACTTTTATATGTTTCAGTTAGTGCTTCCAAGTTACTGCTCTTTTGACGCTTACTTGTATAAGCAAGGTTATGGTATACAAGGTTAAAATATACAACTTTTAGCCATTCTGACTTTTCTTCGAATTACTTCATTTATTTTTCTCTAAAAGAAAAAAATTTCCAGGTGGTGGTGGCACACACCTTTAATAATCACAGCATGAGGGAGGCAGAGGCAGGCAGATCTCTGTGAGTTTGAGGCCAGCCTGGTCTACAGAATGAGTTCTAGGATAGCCAAGGGTACACAGAGACACCCTGTCTTGAAAACAAACAAAACAAAACATTAAAAACCAAAAATGCAAAAAACAAAGCAAAACAAAACAACAAAAACCCCAAAAAGAAAGAATAATCCTTTATTTGACAATAAAAATATAACTAGGAAAAATGAAATTAACAGAGACTGATGAATGGTAACGAAACTGGTACAAATACATAATGAAATTTTATTTATCAGGTAAATGGACAGAGCTGGAAAACGTTATACTAAGTGACTAACCCAGGCCAGAATTACAAGCGCTGCATGGTATCTTTCATATGTGACTCTTAGGTTTGACTCTTTGGTTTATATGTTTAACTTAAGAGTATTTGTAAGTCAGAAATCCTAAAGGGCCCATGAGAGGAGAAGACAGGAGGTCTTAATGGATGGGGGACAGAGTAGAATGCATGTGGTAATGATAAGAGGAGGGGTACTGGTGATTAAAGCAGAGATAGTGATAAGGGATGGAAGCAGAGAAGGCAGGTCAACAAAAATGAATAATGTATGAAAAATCCTCATGGAAACCTATGTATATGCTAATCAAGGGATCCTATATGGGTGGACAATGTTGTTCCCAGAAGACACAGACTATTACATAAAAATCTCAGTACCACACATGGGATACCTCTCTACAAGTTATTGGTTGAGGATGTTCTAGAGACCAGTCCCCTAGAAATAGAAACAAAATAAAACAAAAACACTACAGGCTATTGCCACTGCTCTAGGTTGTCCATCATAACTAAACAGTAAGATCTTACTGAAGACACAGGTACTTTGGTTGCAGGACATAGAAAAATCAATCTGAAACTGACCAGGAAACTTCCTCCCTGCCGGCTAGCTTTCATAGTACTAGGAGGTGCTATACAGGCATCCGGGAGAGAAAAGGCATCAAAAGTCTTATACAATGCTAGATCCTGTATGTAATAATACTGACCAACCAGGCAAGATGTGTCTACTAGTACAACAGTGGTATGTTAGTTCTAGGGGTAAACAACTGGTTTCTGATTTGATCTGAGGCCTATTCATAGAAAAGAACTGATGCCTGGTACTGTAAATACAGTCCAAAGCCAATGGATGGTGAGGCCATGGGCCAAGAGGTGGGAGGTGGGGCAGATACTGACTATTGTTCTGTCAGTTGATCATAGGTAAACTGCCTTCTGAGAATTTATGTTAATATCCACAGATCTATGACGCTTTCAACCTGGGTCAGAAGTTTCTTATTGCAGTGTGCAATAATCAATCCAGACTCATAACTGGTCAAATTGATGAGAACTGTTGGCTCTGTACTTGAAATAGGACATCCCATTCAGCCCCATCTCCCCAGTATCAAGACTCAGGGAACATTGAGGAAAATGTTCTTCAGGGTAGAAAGGATACAAGGACTGGAGGCTGAGGAGTATTGTGAAATGTTGTCTTCAAGGCATGACATGGCATTTGCGTTCAATGAATGTAGAGCAGGTGTGTTACATTCATTGAATGCAAAGATTCCAGGGTAGATGGGGCAAGGGCTCATGAGGCCTCACCTCTAGCTGAGGAGCTACTGGCACATGATGGCTGCTGGAAGAGGGAGAATGACTTTTCTTTGGGGGTCTCAACACTAGTAGGTCAGTCATGCTCCATGGATGCCTCTACTCTCATATGCACATAGGCAGCAATGATTAGACTGGCTAATTGAAGGAAAAAAAAAAAAAAAGACATGAAACATGAAGTTTTGTGTGTGTGTAGCTTGGGAAGAGTAGGGATATGATCAAAATACATTGAATACATTTATGAAATGTCAGAGAAAAACCTATATGAAAAATATATGAGATATTCCTTTACTGTAAGTTTTATCTGTTTTTGAGAATTAGAATGTAGATAAGCTACACTTTAATGAAGAAAGCTTAAGCATAGGAATTCTGAGCTTTTTTCCTGGCTCTATCACTGAGTCAGTTACTCAGAGTCTCAGTTTTGTGTCATCATGTGGAAATGATAGTGTAGCTACTCAGAAACCTAAGTTCAAACCTATAATCTGAGCAGCCCCTCTCAGATTTGCTTTTCATCTAAGAATGTGATGAAAAATTTTCCCTATGAGTTGCAGGGAAAAGCTCTAGTTCTGCTTTGGTTAAAACGGAAAGGGGAAGCTCCTTACCCAGCAGCAAACTGTGAGGGTGCCATCAGGCCTGGGTTGAGTCCTGCAGCAGCAGCCATAGCAGCAAGACTGGCATTTGCTGGCAACTGTGCAGCTCCTTGAAGAGCAGCAGCAGCTGCTGTTTGCAAACCGGATGCTGTCACCATCACCTGGCTGGCTCCAAGAGGGGAGGGGAGAGGCGTGGAGGTGGTCTGTGTTGTGGTGGTCTCGCTGGCACTAGAGGCCTCAGAGGTGGAGGCTGAGGCAGAAGGAGAGGGACTCAAAGAGGGGGACGTGACTGCTGAGGAAGCAGGGGGTGCTGTGGAAATCACGGTGGTTGTGTTGTTGGACGTGCTGTCTGTAGTGCCTGAAAAGAGAACCGGATTAGAAAACAGCTTTTTGTAATTGGGTTTGGAAAACTAGTCACTTCATTCAGTATCTAGAACCAAGGGAACGATTAACCTACAATCTATTAGTCCTTAATTTGTTCTTTTTTTAAAAAAAGTTAAACCAGCTTAGCATTTCTTAATCATAATCTTAATCATAAAAAAATTAAAGTCAAGGCTATGAGTCCTACTTTAAGAGACAAAAGCAATAACACAACTTTGAAATAAGTAACAGTTCTTCCCCCTCACCCCCAATAACAATTGTCTATTAAAAATAAATAAACAAACAAAAGGCAAATGAGGGGCTGGAGATGGCTCGGTGTTTGAGTGTACTGGCTGCTCTTGTGGAGGGAGGCTCATAACCATCGGTAGCTCTGGCGCCAGGGGACTTGATGTCCTTTTCTGGACACCAGACACACATGTGGTGAGTAGACATGCATGTAGGCAAAACACACATATTAAAAACAAAAACAAGAAAACCCCCAAAGAAATCTTAAAAATCCAAATAAAGCATGGTGGTGCACACCTTCAATCCAGCACCTGAGAGGCAGAGACAGAGACAGACAGAACTCTATGAGGTTGAGGCCAGCCTGGTCTACATGGAGGGCTGGAAGCCAGTCAGGCCTACAAAGTGAGACCCTGCCTAAAACAAAACAAAACAACGACAAAACCAAAATCATTTTAGTATTTCTTATTATCTAGTAGATTTGCGGTATATATGCAAATCTATGCACACCTTGATTTGAAATAGCCTTGTTTCAAATGTTCAAAAGCCACAAGTGGTTAGTGAATGCTATAGTGCAGACATATAGCGGGTTTAAAATTTGTGGAGGTTGGCAAGCTGGAGTCTAAAGGAAAGAATATTTTAAAGAATGTGGCCATTCACGACCCAGTAAGGGATCTACTAATGTAAAACATAAAGAGCAAGGCCTCTAATTCCAGACATCAGTAAATGCTTGTCCTGTTTTTCTTTTCCTCCTGCCCCTCTACTCTTTTTGGTCAATTTGATAAAAGTCATTCAGGAAGAGAAAACCTCAATTGAGAAAATGCCTCTACCTGATGGATCTGTGGGTAAGCCTGTGATTGATGTAGGAGGGATCTGTGCACTGAGGGTGTTGCCACCACTCCTCCCCCCCCCTCCCCGGCAGGTAGTTCTGAATGGTATAAAAAAGCAGACTGAGCAAAGCCACGAGGAATGAGCTAGTAAGCAGTATTCCTCCATGGCCTCTGCATTGGTTCCTGTCTTGAGTTTCTGCACTATTTTCTATCAATGATGGACTGTAAACTGGAATAAACATCTTTCTCTCCAAGTTGCTTTTGGTCATGGTGTTTTATCACAGCAACAGAAACCCTAACTAAGTCAATACTACCTTACAAAAATAAAACAATAAACAAAAAACCAACAACCTCCCCTAAAAAAAAAAAAAAAAAAAAAAAAACCAAAAGAGGTAGCCAGAATTTAACTTAGTGAAACTCAGCATGTCTTAGCATATAATGAACCATAGATAAATAGAAAATAAAAACCTAGTGAGAACTCAAAAAGGACAAAAACATACATAAGCAATCCTTTAAAATTTCCATACTGCGATGCTACTACGATGTATACAAGATTTTCAATGTACTGTAAGAAACAGTTTTTGCTGCAGAAGATCCCTGCCATGTAAGAGCTTCAACACACTTAAGTACCTCTGCTGTACTAACACTTACAACCCTGCCCTCTTTGCTTTCTCTGCCCAGTTTCCCTCATGAGACACTGGGAGAACTTAGACCATCTAAATGGTCTAAGCACTGCCTGCTTCCTATACCTCTACAATGGTATAAAGGTTGCTTGTCATCTCCAAAGGTTTATTGCTAGTAAGAAAACAATTCACTCGTGTTTTTGTCCTTCCCCAAAGTAAATCTCGTTTTCCACCCTTTTCTTTTTTGAACAGCTTATTGATGTATGATTTATATGTCATAAAACTTGCCCAGTTTACGTGTGAAGTTCAATACCTTTTATCTATTTCCAGAATTTCTTAATTACCACACAATCCAGACTAGCACTTGCACCACCAAAGAAAGGTCTCCCGTGCTTGCTTGTTGTCATTTCCCAAGCCTACTGTCTCTGTCTCCATAGATCTACATTTTTTTTTTGACATTTCACATACACGGAATTGAACAATCTGTGATTTTGTGCATCTTAGGCTGTTAATTTTGGTTCTGCTACACTGAAGCAGGAGCCAGCACTTTGCTTTTTGAGAATGAATTCTATTCAATGGCACAGATATGCTGTGTGAGCTTCAGCTTGTTTCCAGTTCAGGGCTATTATAAATATGCACACACATGTAAGAGTTATGGTGTTAATGTTTTCATCTTTTCTTGAGGAAACCACTTCACTGGGTGATAGACTTATATTTTTAACTTACAAAGAAAATGCTAAAGTGACTTCCACAGCGACTATGCCACTTTACATTCCCACAAACCACGCAATACGAACAGCAATTTCTCTGACCCTTTATCCTCATCTATCTTTGACTGTAGGCATCCTATAAAGTATGTTTTTAATTTTCCTAACAAACAACACTGCTGAGCACCTTTGCCTATGTTGTTTTTCACTTTTGTACTTTCTTCGGTAAAGTATCTACTTAAATTTTCTGGGCCATATTTTTACTACTGAGTTTTCAGAAATTTTCCAAATATAACTGTTTAAAAGACACGTGCTTTATTACAAACATTTTCTTCCAGTCTTTGTCTTGCGTTTCCATTTTCCCCAAAAGACTTTACTTTGATGAAACTCAATTCATTATCTTAAAATTTTTAAGTATGTGTGTGGGCCATGTACGCTGAAGAGGACACTGAATTCCCTGGAGCTGGAATTACAGGTGGTTGAGAACCACTCACTGTAGGTGCTGGGAACTGAACTCAGGTACTCTGAAAGTACAGCAAGTGCTTTTGACTGCGGGGCTATGTCTCTAGTATTGTCCCCCCCCCCCTTTTCAAATAGCCTATACTGTGGGTGTTTTATCTATAAGCCCTTTGCAGTACAAAGACATGAAAACTGTTTCTTACTATTTCCTAGAAGTTCTATGGATACATTCAAGCATCTGACCCAATTTAGGTTTTGTGCCTGGAACAAGATAAGAACCTAAAATAGTCTTTGTGTATTTTGACATCCAACTGTTCCAGAAGTGTTTGTTAGGGACTTTTTTCCCTATTGGATTGTCTTAGCTTTTTGTCAAAAATTAAGAGAAAAATCAATGTTTTTTTTTTTTTTCTTTTATTTCCTGGACTGACAGCTTTGTTTCATATAATCTATTTTATGAAGAGTTTAATCTTGCCTTGAGTACATGTATCTTTATAATCAGCTTTGAAATCTGCTAAGAGTATCCAAGTTTATTCTTCTCAAGTCCTTTTCATATAGATTTTTAAATAGACCCCTTTAATATTTATTTTAAAATGAGTTTAATTTATGTATTATAATTATGACTGTTGAATCAGAAAGAAATAAATTAAGCCAGGGACAGACAAGTGTCATTTTAAGAATGCTGAAATGTAAGACACCTCTTAGAATTTAATTTCAGGCTGGTGACATCACAGTAAAGTACTTGTCATATAAACACAAACACTCAAGTTCTATTCCCAGAAAGCATAAAATAGGCAGAATGTGGGTTCTGGGGAGTAAGCACAGGTTCTCATGTGAGTGGGACAAGCATTTTAATGACTGAACCATGTCACCAGAACAAAAAAAAGTCTATGACCTAGAATTTAAGGCTCCTACAGCAGGCACAAGTAGACTGGGGGTAGTGCCCGCTGGACATTATAATTCATGAACTTCTTTTAAGTTACTAAAAACTGTGTGCATTCCTATTTTATGAGAGGAAATTCTCAATGAGGCCTAACCATCAAGGGGTCACAAAGAACTGTTTAGATTACATTAAAAACCTAACATTTGCTAATGGCTTAGAAACACAATATGAAGCCATCCACTGAACTTTACAGAATGTCAGGTCGCAGAACTGAAGAGATATTATGAACTTAAAAAACAAATTAAACAAACAAACAACAAAGTGTCCAATTCTAGGCTAAGTAAATTTGATCATGAAATATCATCAAGCAATCTAATGGCTTACTAGCATGTAATAAATAATTAGCATAGCTTGTGTATTATGTCTCACAAAAGCAAAACATTTGGTAACAATGCTGTATCATTTTAAATGCTTTGGGAAAATTTCTTCTAGGAGGCCAAAGGAAGACTTGTTTACCCAATTTCCAATGAGTGTAACAGGCAATAAGCTGGCCATCACAAAGAACACAGCACTTAGCTCTTCAGAAGTACAAAGGCTATGGGAAGATGTGTAAAAACAGATGTGTGTAACATGAGTAAAGGACAATGCTAACTTCCTGGAGAAGAAGTGTTTCCAAGAACTGAAATACAAGCTAGAGCAGGTCACCAATGTCCCACCAGCAGGTGAATATCACACCAAGAACTGAGCTCTACAGTGGACACTTCAAGAGGCAGGATTTATTTACAATGGTATGGAGGCTGACCATGTGTTGGGTGCGGTGGGCAAAGGTCTAAGGAGAGAAGTGCAGAATACAACTGATGAATTTGTATGTTTCTTTGACTGTAAAAAGCCATTACTATTGATGGTTTGTGAAGAAATCACTTAAATAAAAGATGTTTAAAAGATAAGTCTGGAAATAATTACGGAGATGGACTGTTAGAAGAACAATTTTAAAAAGCTATACTCCCCCCCCCCCCCCCCCCGGGGCATGGTGGGGCACACCTTTAATCCTAGCACTTAGGGGTAGAAGCAGGTGGGTTCTGAGTTCAAAGCCAGGCTGGTCTACAAAGTGAGTTCCAGGTCAGCCAGAACCCCATCTTTTAAAAAAAAGGGCACTAGTATGGCCAGCTCAAATTCAAGTGTGTACACACACACACACACACACACACACACACACACACACACGTAAGTGGAGCTCCTCTTTGAGCCAGATGGAGACTAACAACTAACTGGTCACGGTGCAGAGAACAGGAGACTAAGGAGTGCTCAGCCCTAAAGGGACATCTACATCACACCCTCTCTTCCAAAGATCACAGAGAGAGAGAGAGAGAGCACACGAGAGGGTGAGAGCACATGTATGTTTGCATGTATGTAGGAAGATGCCTGTGGAGGCCTGAAATTGATGCTGAGTATCCTCCCTGGTTGCTCTCGACTTTATTTATCAAGGCAGGGTCTCTTACTGAATTTGGAACATACCACTTTGGCTAGCCTATCAGTTTGTTCTGAGGAATCCCTTTGCCTACTACCCCAAGATTATGACTATGGATGGGTTAATAAGCTTATTTGGGTTTTAAGTGTGTACACTGTATCTTAACTCTAGTCTTCATAATTATGTTCACTGAGCAATCTCCATAGACTCCCTAGACATACATTTTTTAAAAAACAACCCACAACCAATTCATATCTTAAGATGGCGCCTTCATGATTTAACAAGTCTTCACAGAAGCCTAACTGGCAGTGTGTTTAATAGCCTGTGAGTTGGTTTTGCTTACCTGTAAGAGAGAGATTAGTTACTGCAGCACTGGTTAAGGGAAGGACAGGGTTGACTGTGAGGGTAGTCGCTGTACTGCTTGTCACAAGGCTTGGAGTGGTTGCCACCTAGAGGTCAGACAAGAAAGGATGCATGTGGCACAATCAGACCGTAAATAGTCCTTAAATGTGAATAATGCTGAGTCAGACAGACTCTAAATCAGTTAAAAATGGCATAAAAATTGTCAACATCACCTAAACAAGAGAACCATCTGATAACATCTGTGCTTCTATTGCTTTTACCTTTGGTTTTGTGGAAGCAGGACTGCCCCTTCCTTCCTTCCTTCCTTCCTTCCTTCCTTCCTTCCTTCCTTCCTTCCTTCCTTCCTTCCTTCCTTCCTTCTTCCCACCCTTCCTCTCTCTTCCTTCCAAACAGGGTTTCTCTGTGTAGCCATGGATGTCCTGGAATGCTCTGTAAAGCAGGCTAGACTTAAATTCAGAGATCTGCCTGCAAGTCTGCCTCTCAGGTACTGGGATTAAAGGAGCAGGACATCACCGACTAGCAGATTAACATTCTTCCGGCCAGACATAGTGGCGCATGCCTTTAGTCCCAGCACTTGGGAGGCAGAGGCAGGCAGATCTCTAAATTCAAGGCCAGCCTGGTCTACAGATCAAGTTCCAAGACAGCTAGGGATACACAGAAAAAACTTGTTTTAAAAACCACAACAAACCGAACAAACCTTACTATGTAACTGTGGCTGGCCTAGAACTCACTATGTTAACCAGACTGGCCTTTAATACAAAGATCCTGAGTCCTGAGATTAAAGGTGTGTGCCGTTATTGGAGTCAAGGACCTGTGGCTAGACAGACCAAGGTGCAATTCGAGAACCTCGCATTCCTCTGCTTAATGGACATAGTGTAAAACGAGCTCCTAGAGATTGATTGCTACAGAGCAGTGCATTTCTCAGCTTCCATCAGAAGAGCTCCTCCTTGAACCAGATAGAGATTAACACACAGGCTCACTGGTCACGGTGCAGAGAAAGGGACATGTGCAGACCTAAAAGGGACATCTACATCACATCCTTTCTTCTTAAGGCTCAGGGATCCTTGCAGAAGAGGGGGAGGGAAAGTTCTAAGAGCCAGGGAAGATGGATGATTACAGGGAAACTTCTTGTGACCCAGAAGGGTACCCACTGCACATATGAACTCTCAACAGTTGTGACAGCACGTCCAAGACCCAGAAAAGCTCAAGCCAGACAAAATTCCAGCATGAAACGGGGAGGCTCCAAAATCTAGCTGTGGAACTCCTGGCAACTGACAACAGTTGAGAGCAGGAGAGCCAGTTTTCTTCAAATTGTGGCCACTGGTCAGTCAATCACACCCTAGTGGATGGCCATACACATAAGAGGACATGAGCACAGAACTTGAACTTGATGGGTTAAAAAAAACAAAACAAAAAAACCTCACAAGTTGTGTATGTGTGTGTTTGGAGCTGTAGGAATTGGGGAAGGGGAATACAATTCCTTGCAGGTTTTTGAAGTATTATAATAAATATTCTATGGTTTTGTAAGAAACTGCCTTCTTTCTATGACAGCTAAGCCTAAAAAATAAAACAGTTATCTACCCAAAACAAAACTGCTATCTAATGACTACAATTTTTCTAACTACATCAACTTTAAAACTAAAACCTTACCATTTAATAAACCATAACCTTCACTTAATAAATAACACTGGCCTTAGTGTAAAGAAACCTTGTGGAGCCTGGTATGGTGCAACATGCCTTTAATTCCAGCATTTGGGAAGCAGAGGGCAGGTAGATCTCTGAATTCCAGGCTAGTCTGGTGTTCATAGTGAATTCAGGTCAGCCACGGATACAAACAGAAACTCTATCTCAAAAAACTAAGGGAGGATGGGAGGAGGCTGTAGTGTGGAATAATACTAAAAAAATAAGCAGATTAACAAAAACAAGAGGAACATAAATGCAGACTCAACAATCAGTCCTTCTTTTGAAGCCTGTCTGGCATCATGGCAGTGATCTACAATTATCCTAAAAGGAAGAAAAGATATATCAGGGAGTCCTGTGACCTCTTCTATCTAGGAATAATGTTCTAATGCAAATAATGGCAGAAGTGACTTAATAAGGCTCCATATGAAGGCCAACCTACTGTCCAAGAGTGAAGATCTGAGATGACTATTCACACTTGAGAATTACTGTCACTTAATCATGTAAGTTTACTAAAATGGGCTTTAGGACTGAACAGCAATAAAGAAGGAAAATAAGATGTTTCTCCCAAGTAATTGGAATCAGGAGTAAACCTACCATTATCGTTACAGTATAACCTTATTAGCCACAGATGAAAATGCAAAGACACAGAATTCAAATCGCTTACTTCCAAAAGTATAGGAAACCAGTAAGTTCTGGGGTTCACAATGAGAGACTTCATAATTTTGGAAACATTTAAAGTATAGACATTTTAATATATTTTCAACATGTATGCTACACACACAGACAGTCACACAAATCCTTAACTGTTGTAGTTTGAATAAGGATACTTCCCTAGGTTCCTATGTTTAGTCCCTGGTCCCCAGTTAGTGAACTGTTGGGAAGGATTAGGGGTGTGGCCTTGCTGGAGGAGGTGTGTCACTGGGGATGGGCTTGGAGGTTTCAAAAGCCCATGCCATTCTCAGCCTCTCTCTGCCTCCCACTTAAGGATCAACATGTGAGTTCTCTGCTGTTCCTATGCTCCACCATCAATGGACCCACCCTCTGAAATTGTAAGCTAATATTAAATGCTTTCTTTAATAAGTTGCTGTGGTCATTCATGATGTCTAACCACAGGAATAGAAAACTAAGACAACCATTACAAAATGAGTTGACTGCATAGGCTATTTATAAGACTAAAAATTAGCCCTTGAAGAGTTTGTCTGTTCCATATCCATTCTTACCAGTGAGGTTGGGCTGGGGAAAATTGCTTTGATAGGTGAGCTGCTGGTCCCACCACTGCTTGGTGGGTTGATTCTTTTTTCCTTCTGGCGGCGGTTACAAAACCAGACACGAATCACCTCCTTTTCCATATTGAGCTGTTCAGCAATCAAGGTGATATCTTCCGAGGTAGGCTTTTGATTCTAAGAGAGGAAAAAAAAAATTTTTTTTTTTTTTTTTTTTATATATTTGCCATACTGGAGACTCAATTCAGGGACAAGTGCTCTACATTTGAATTACATCCTAGCCCTGGAGTATTTTTTTCTTCTTTTTAAAAAAAGATTTATTTTGTTATGTGTTATGAGTGTTTTGTCTACATGTATACAGAGTGACCTCAGAGGCCAGAAAACAGTACCAAATCTCCTGGACCTCTGTAATTACAGATGGTTGTGAGCCACCACATGGGTGTTAGGAATAAAACCTGGGTCTTATGTAGACCAGGCTGACCTCAAATTACAGATATCCACCTGCCTCTGCCTCTGCCTCCTGAGGGTTGAGACTAAAGGCATGTGTCACCACTGTCCCACTTTTGTTATTTTACTTTTGTTTTGTTTTCTGAGACAGGGTTTCTCTGTGTAGCCTGTCTGTCCTGGAACCCATTTTATAGACTAGGCCAGCCTTGAACTCACAGAGATCTACCTACCTCTATTTTCCAGGTGCTGGGAATTAGAATACCTCTGCTGGCTATAATCCATTAATCTTAAAGTTAACAAATGAACACAGCCTTCCACACTACTAGGAAGGTGTGAGCCTCTCAGTGCTTTATGCACACTATCTAACTGGATCTCATACTATGTTTCTGAGTCAGGAAAGAAGGTGATTTCATAGGTGCAGAAACTTCATTGTGAAATCAAGTGATGTGCCCCACCACACCTTTAATAAGAAGGGAAGCGAAGAAAGACTCCTGACTCATTGTTTCCTCAAGTAAACAGCTCTTTCTGAATTAGAAATCAATTGTTTTTGTTGGAAGTCCATGTCTTTCTTTAAGCAGATTATCTGTTGAATTAACTTGACCTATGCAACAGGACATTCAAGGTCTCTAGTGTTGTGCCCTAAACTACCATTTTAGGCATAAAGACACTAAAATTCAGCCACCTAACCCACTAGTATTTTTTCTGGACAGGCGCAGTTTCCTCTAGAGGCCTATGATCATGAAACTGCCCTGCTTGAGGTACTTTTCTCCCACCTTTTTCAGTCTGTAGGACAAGTTCCTATGCTCCCAACCAAATACGTTATTAGAACCAGGTCTCTCTTGAGTCCTACAGTACTAAAGTGTCAATATTACAGCATCTTACTTCCTCCCTTTTAAAGTGCCCAACAGGTGGAGAAAGACAAGGTCATGTTTTAATATCTACAGTCCCTAACAGTAAG